CTCATCGTGTGATCAATGTCCTCGCGGGAGGCAAGCAAGGTGGCGCACGCAAGTGGGACTTCTTCACGCAGTCCTTCTGTTTTCGTGCCCCCCCGCGCTCGCCCCCCCGGCTCCGCTCCTTCACGTCCTCCGGCTGAACTCGGAATCTCCTTTCTGCCCCCATCGACGACGCTGCGAGTGATGAAAGTCGACAGGAGTGTTGCCTTGTCCTGCAGGGATGCAAGCCCGAAGCGGTGGGCGGGAGCGTCGCCGCTCCCGCCAGGTGACGTCGACCGCTCCGCCCCCCCATCCTGGAAACGCACCCCCCGACCCCTCAACCTCCCCGTCACCCGCGTCTCTCGTCCCAAACCCAGCTCTCGATTGGCCCTGGCAGAGAGGGGCGGCATTGACGACGCCCCCCCCGCCCTTGGTCCTTAGCGACTGCCGTCGTGCGCCAAGAAACCCTCATGTCCCCGCGCCCTACATCCAGTTCACGGATGGTCCTCGTAGTGAGCGGCGGCATCTTGGTCGATGGCGCGGCACCGGGCGGCGCGACGGCGGAAGACGGTGGCGCAGCGGCGAACGGCATTGCAGGTGGCGCGGTGGTGGTAAATGGTGGCGCGGCGGTGAACGGTGTTGCCGGCGGCGTGGTGGTGGCGAACGGTGGCGCAGCGGCGAACGGCGAACGGCGTTGCAGGCGGCGCGATGACCTGTAGCGGTGGTGTGGCTGCGGTAGACGGCGCCACCGGCGATGGTGGTGTGGAAGTTGCCGGCGGCGCCTGTGAGGATATGGCAGCGGGTGAAGTGGGATGTCGGGCGAAAGGTGAGGGGGGTAAAAGAGGCGGTCGACCTCGACCGCAAAGCGGTTCTTCGGGACCGCAACGCTCGGCTTGACGCCGAGTTCACCAAGGCGACCGCGGCACGACACGCACAAATCGCANACGGCGCGGTGACCGGCGGCGATGGTGTGGCTGCGGTAGGCGGCGCCGCCGGCGATGGTGGTGTGGAAGTTGCCGGCGGCGCCTGTGAGAATATGGCAGCGGGTGAAGTGGGAGAGCGGGCGAACGGTGAGGGGGGTAACAGAGGCGGTGAAATGTACTCTATTAAAAACGGTGCGGCGGCGACATCCGAATCCCCCCCCTCGCCCGCCGGCGCCGGCATCTCCAGCGGCGGGGTCAGCAACGGCGCGCGGTCGGAGACCCACACGACGTTGTTCGTCATGCACACGCGCCCCGTCGCGAACTTGAGGACCTTGACCGCCGACTCGTGATGGTTGTCGCCGTTGTTGAGGTAGCAGCACAGCACTGCCTGGGGATCCATCTTCCGCGCGCGCATCACACGCATGTACCCCGGCTGCAAGAACGGGACGATCTGCAGTGGGGGCGGGCGGCCGGTGAAGAGCTCGTGCGGCGACTTGTACCCGACGTTTGCCTTGGTCGGAGAACGGTTGAAGCCGCCGGCAGCCAAGTGACACGAATCTAGCCAAAGTCGCTCGCCATCGCGTCCGAAGCCGGGGACGTGGGTGAAGTCGATCTTGGGGAACAGGCGGCGTGCCTCGAGACGAGCGGCGTGGCCGGCCTTGTTCACGCGCCAGATCGCACTCTCCGCCGGACCATTCTGCTGCGGGGTGCCCGGCGCCGTGTACGTACGGCGGATGCCGGCGTTGTCGCAGAAGGCGATGAAGTCGCGTCTCACGAACCCCCCCCCGTTGTCCATCCGGAAAGAACGAGGGACACCGGTGCCACTCATGTCGGCGATGAACTTCTTGACGAAGGCGAGGGTGTCCGACTCGCGCCTCATCCCGTAAAGCTTCAAACACCGCGAGAAGCTGTCCGCGAACATGATCATGAAAAACGACCCCCCCAGCGAGGCCGTCATCGGCCCACACAGATCGATATGCCAAAGATCGTGCGGCAACTCCGCGCGTGTGCCCGATTGGTGAGACACGCCCGCCTTCTTCCCCTTCGCCTGCAGACATCCACCACAAGGCTGCAGGACACCGGTCAGTCGGAGACCGTGCTGCTTCGCAAGCTCACGCAAAAGAACTCATTGGCGTGGGAGCACGAAATGTGGAGAAGGTTAACGTCAATAATCTTGGTGGGTTTCCCCACCGAAAAAAGGCGCTTGCCCGGGGCCATGACGGGGACAGCGAAAGCAACATCATCGAAGACATTTGCAAATCCAGCCTCAAACATCAAGTCAAAAACTCGTAGGGGTCTTCTGATACCTCTCTTTGTTCCAATAGGTACACAGCCCACTCGTAATCTCCCTGCTCTGTGTACGGAATGCATCCACGGTCATCATCGTCAGTACTCTCATAAAAAATGGAAATGGAGATGTCGGGCGAGGGCAGGCCGGGAACAGCTACCAACTCCATACCATGCGGCCCTTGAGGAGCGGAAGGAAACACCACTCTCCTGTCAGCGGGGTGGGGGGCATACATTGTCGGAGGAACGACGCTGCTCGCAGCGGGCGGGAGACCGTACACAATTGACGACACTACGCTGTTTGCAGCGGGCGGGAAACCGGGCACAGTAGGTGGCACTACGTTGTTTGCAGCGGGCGGGAAACCATACACCGTGGAAGGTACGACGCCGGCAGCAGCGGGCGGAAAATTCGACACGGTGGGTTGAACAACACTCCTGGGAGCGGTTTGAGGTACAGACATCACCGGAGGCACTACGCTGCTTTCAGCGGGCGGGACACCTGACACTGCGGAAGGAACGTATGCTACACCTGGAGGGGGGGGGAACACCGGTGGCGTTTCTGGCATCACCCTACCATCACTCGCATGTAAACGTACACCAGCAGCGCGGGGAGGGGGCACCGGGGGGAAAAGCATCACAGGCACAGAGGTGGGCGTTTCATAGTTGGGCGGCAAGCGTGTGGCCCAAAGCGACGAACCCCTCTCGCCACGGGGAAAGGTCAATTGGCCATGGAAAATATGGGTGCCTACGTCGTCCAAGGCAATACGTTGCAATCCCTGTGCTTGGTGGAGGGAGAAAAGATTGAACCCCNAACATCCGATTCCAAGCACTCGCATCGTCGTGCTATCACCAATCTGCACTCTCTCGCTATCAAGGGGCGGGATGATCACATCATACATGTTTGTGGGGTCTCCGGCGGTGTGGTTAGTTGCACCGGAGTCTGCAAGCCATTCTTCAACTCCT